GAAGCAAAAAATGGAAGCTTCGAAAATGAAAGTTTTGCTTCAAGTTTTATTAAAAATGAGCCATTTGCTTCACCAAACGAAGAAAAAATATTAAGAAATTTAAAATCAACTTATTACCAACAAACTTTACTTTTAACATTACCTCCAGAGCGGTTGACAAAATTATTGGATTGGTTAACAGTTTGGGAACACGAAGAAAATAAAGAAGCATTAGCTATTGTTTTGATACCCAAAGGGCTTCAAATACCTTCAATTGTTCAGATTAGAGCATTTCCTTCTCCAGCTATTGGAATTAATGGAGTTAAAATGTTACAGTCTGGACCTATAAAGGTAAATAAAAATTATTCTGATTTTTATTCTGGTTTGTTTTTTTCTAGCTTTAAAATAAGCTTGAAATATTCAAACTTGTTCAAGTTTATTTTAAAGTTGTTAAACTTGAATACAATTTTTTTGTAAAACTTGATGAAACTTAAGTACTTTAGTTTATTTAATTAACTCAAGTTTACAAGTTTATTTAGAACAAGTTTAGTATTTGTATGTGTCCTAAAAATAAAACACAAAATAAATATTTCCAAGTTTATTTATTTTATGAAGGTATTGGATACAAAAACAATTGAAGTAACTGAATTTACTTTTCTTTCTGATAATCTTCCAGCTTGGTTTATGGTTGGGAAAGAAATTATGCCTAATGCTAAGGGACTTATTGTTCCTATATTTGACAAGTTTGTAGAACATTTAAAAAATATTTTTTTAATTTTTAGAACAAATAAAAGCTTCAATTGCGATTCTTTGAGGGAATATCACAACGAAACCGTAAAATTATAAAAAAATTTTAATTAAAAAATAAAAATTTAAGGTAACTTTACGCCTTCCTGATCCTTTTGATATTAAAGACGTGTTTTGGTTTGCTGTAAGTTATTTAAATAATTTTTTTAAATTTTTTGATTAAAAAATTAAATTTTAGTTGAATTAAAATTTGATTTAGAAAAAATAAATTTTTTTATTCAGATTTTCTCCATTCCCAGAAATATTCCACTTTCACATATCTATTTACCTTATGTAATTTTTATTATTTTTTAAATTAAAAATATTCCATCAATTTATTTTTTAATAGAATGATATGCAACTTCCGCCAGATTTGGTTAATTTACAGGTAATTAAAAAAATTTTTTAAATAAGAAAAATTATTAATTTAGACACCTCAGTGTATTTGGAGAAGAAATATCGTCTAAATATTTAAATAAATACAAAAATACAATAGTTTTCCGGAAAACACAATTATAATGAAAATAACTGTGTTTTATTAATTAACTAAATCTAAAAAATATTTTCCGGAAAACACACAGAAAACACAAAAAAAAACACAAAATTATTCTGACTAATGGACAACACATTTTTAACCTGAAAACACAAACAACCTTCCGGAAAATTTATACTTTCCGGAAATAATTATACAAAAGAAAAATTCTGACTTTTCCGGAAAGTTTATTTATTTTTATCTCCCAATAATACCAAATTATTTATTTCTAGCTAAAATACCTAAAACAAATTTAATTTTCAAAACCCCAAATTTATTTTAAAAAATATAAAATGAAACAAAAATTTATTTTAATTTTTATTTTTCCATACATTTTCAATTTTCTTCTTCTACTAAACTAAATGCTTTCATCAACATAGTCTTCTTCTTTTTATTTTCATTTAAATAGCGCATTTTCTTTTTAAATTGTTTTTACTCACAAAATTAGCTACTAAAACGATACTAGTAATTTACTTTACAAATTTGTATTTTTTTCTTCTAGAATTTATTTTAATTTTTACTTGTGTTTTTACTTAAATTTGTTGGGTAAACTAAAATAAAAAATACACAAAGTTTTCCGGAAAACACAATTAAAAATAAATATTCTGATTTTTCCGGAAATATAAGTATTCAAAAAATTTCCGGAAAACACAAAAAATAAATACCTATTCATTTAATTTCCGGAAAGGTTATAAAAATAAAAATACATAGTTTTCCGGAAATAAAAATACACAAAATTTTCCGGAAAACACAAACAAAAATACATAATTATTCTGACTAAAACTTTCCGGAAATAATCATACAAAAGGAAAATTCTGATTTTTCCGGAATGTTTAATTACAAAGAAAGGAGGGTAGAGAGCATAGAGTAAGTTGCGCTACTCATATTATTACATTTGACTTTTGGACATATGTCAGATGAAAGTATTATTTTTGGCATTAATTTATTTTAATAAAATTTTATTTCTTTGTTGATATAGAAATATTTTTAAAAACCTCAATTCATCTAAACCCAATATTTAAGCTTTTTTCATCAATAAAAACTCAATAAATGAATGAAATTTGAGCCAATTGTATCTTTTTTGAAAAATATAAATAATAATAAATCTCTTTTTTAAACCACACATTTTGTGCAAAAATGAAGCAATCTTAGTGTGATTGATCCTTCAACTTTTTTTTTACTTTCAAAAAAATATTTTATTAAAAATAAAGGAGATTTTTAGGAGGATTTTTAATTTAATTTTTAGTTCCAAGAAACAAAAATTTTTTTTACACATTTTTGGACAACAATGAAACCGAAACAAACAAAAAAGTCAAAAAACCTTTTGTTATTATTTTTTTGTTTTTTTAGAAAAATGAAAAAAAGCTGCAGTTAACCTCATATATACCTTTGGGAATTTGTTGGGGCAAAAATAGCATAAAATATAAAAAAGAAAAAAAGGGAAACTGAAGCAGGCGGAAATTTACTTTTTAGTGAAATAAACTAAAAATTCGCAACTTTATTTAAATAAACTTTTTTTAAATTAAATAAACTTTGTCTAAAACTTGATCAAAAAATAAACTTGAAGCATGCGGAATTTATTTTAATTCAAGTTTAATTAATTACAACTTAAAACATTTTTAAATAAGCTTGTTCTAAATAAACTTTAAATAAATAAACTTTGTTTAAAACTTAATCGAAAAAGGAAAAAAATAAACCTGAAGCAGGCGGAATTTAATTATTTTAATTTAAGTTTAATTAATTACAAACTTGATTTAATTAAACTTGAAAACTTGAAAAAAGTTTGAAAACTTGAAAAAAGTTTGAAAACTTGAAAAAAGTTTGAAAACTTGAAAAAAGTTTTAAGCTTAAACTTGCATTTTTCTAACTATTTCGACCAAATTTTTTAAAAATTAAAATCTTTTAAAAAATAGCTTGTAAAAATCTTATTTTTGATTAATTTTATAGAACACATTCTCCTCTATCTTTTAACATAAAAATAAAATTTATAGCTTTATTTAATCAAAAGATAAAAAAATTCAAGTCAGTTGCGATTATATGGTTAAAACCCCTCCCCTTTTTCAATAAATTCTGCCGTCACAGACGCGACCCTCACATTCAAAAAATTCTTTTTTTAAGTCTGTCAGTCCTCAATAAGTTCCTTTTACCTCTTGAACCTTCCATCCACATAATATTATTCCTTTTTTCAACTTTTTTTTATTTTCCCCTTTTTTCCTTTCCTTAGGGAAAATATGCCAGCCACACACCCAAAAACACACATAAATAACCTAAACTTTTTTTACAAATTTATCCGCTGTCATTTATCGAATTTTGTCCTCTTATAAAAATAAAAGCTTTTTTAATGAATTTTTATAAAAATAAAAATTTATTTATTTGACAATATTTTTTGCCGTCATTTTCATAAACTTAAAAATATTTTATTTTTCTTTAAAAAATATTTTATGCTTTGTCAAGCATTAGAAAAGGAGTATTATTGCTTGTTTAAACCTTTTATTTCATGGATTTTTTTTTAAAATTACAAATTGTAAAATAAATTATAGACAAACAACGTGTTTAATAAAATTACAAATTGTAAAATCTTAATAAAACTTAATTACAAACATGCTCATTTAAAAATCGCAAACTTAAAAATAAACTTTACCAACTTGAAGAGAAAAAATAAACTTTACAAGATTGCAAACTTAACAAAAATGCTTAATTTAAAAATAAACTTGTCCATTGAAAACATAAAAATAAACTTGAAGCAAAATAAATCAACTTTCTTAGATTTTTGAATAAATTCTTTCTCCAAAAAATTTTTAAAAATAAATTTCTCCTAATTTTTCATTTCCTTATATAAATTCCAATATTTTCTATTATTATTATTATTAAAAATTTTTTTTTGTGTGTGGGATTTTCTAATGACCAACTTCAACCAACCAACCCTCCCCAACTTGGGAAAGCGTGAGAGAAGAGGAGTACTATATTATTATTATTAAAAATACCCACAAACAAATAGCTAATAATAATAACAATTTTCTATATACTTTAAAAAATCTCGCGACTATATACCCAAACAAAGCTGCAATTAAAAAAAAGGTTTTTTTTTTCTCTGCAGGGGCTTTTTAAAAAATATTGTCCTCAACGGAAAAAGGAAAAAAGTTTTATTTATTTTTGCTTCAAGTTGGATATTTTTAATTTCAAGTTTGTACTTTTAATAAACAAATTAAGCATTTTTTACAAAACTTAAATTTATTTTACAATTTGTAATTTTTCTTAAAACTTGTTTTACAATTTATAATTTTTAATGAAACTTGTCCTACAATTTGTAATTTTTCTTAAAACTTATTTTACAATTTGTAATTTTTCATAAAACTATTTTTACAATTTGTAATTTTTAAGGTTTATATTTTAATTTCATTTTTTTCTCTTGCATAATCTTAAGCAAATACTTGAAATATTGAATATTTTCTACTATTTTTGGCCTATACTTTCACTTAAATATTATGCACTTTTAGTTACCTCTCTTAGCCCTATTTATCTTGTAATTTACTTAAAAATATTTTTAAACGATTTTTAAATTTTTTCCTTCATTTAACTAAAAGAAACATCCAACTTAATAGATGATTCTTAATTATTAGTTTCCCCCCTACTTTACTTTCTCATGAACTAAAATTAAAGAAAAGACTGATCTCTTCAAAAATCCATCATTTATTAACTAGCTAATTTCCCTTTTCTTTCAATTTATTTCCACGTTTGTTATAATGGCCACCCCTCATATAGCCTTTACGTCGATGGCCAGAGGCTTGTTCCCCCCTTTAGCTCTTCCATTTCCTGGACAAAGGTACCTCCAAAGTCTTTTGCTATATCCTCAACAAAAAATATGCCTTTCATTGCTTTTCCTTCCCCTTTTTCACTTTCCAAACATTTTTTGCCTGGTTTCCTGTCCCTTGCACTTGGCCATTTTGTTGTTTCTCCTTTTTGCTATTTTTTAGTTATTCCCTTGCTGCTCTTTATATTTATCCATCTCCACAAATGCACACATCCATCGCTCAAATGCCCTCCTATTATTCCATCGTTCGGTCAAGAGCAGCAATATATAGCATGCCTTAACATCCCTCCCCAACCATCTGTTTAAATATGTTGTACTTATGGAATAAATCCAGGAATAATAAACCTTGGAAAATAAACTTGAAGCAAACACAATCTTAACTTATTTAATAAATTAAACTTGCAAACTTAATAAACTTGAATTATTTCTAAAGTTTTAGGTTTCTAAACAAGTTTTGATTTCTAAAACTTGTTTTTTCAAGTTGTTAGCCTTAACTAAGTTTAATAAATTTAAGTTTATTTATTCTTCAAGTTTGTAATTTTGTAAAAACATTTTTTTAAGTTTCTAAACAAGTTGTAATCTTTAAAACTTGTTTTTTCAAGTTTGTACTTTAACTAAGCTTTAATTTAAGTTTATTTATTTTTCAAGTTTGTAATTTCGTAAAATCATTTTTAAGTTTCTTAAGCAAGTTTTATTTTTAAAATTTGTTTTTGATGACAAACAATTTGTTTCAAGTTTGTAATCTTTAACTAAACCTTAATTTAAGTTTATTTATTTTCTCAAGTTTGTAATCTTTTAATTAATGTATTTTAAAGTTTGCTTATTTTATTAAATAAAAGAAATAGCATTTTATTAATTACTAAAAAACATTTATTTTCTGCACGCAAATAAAAAATAAAAATTTATTAAAAAAAGATTATAATATGAGGCACAAACCATTATTATTATAACAACCTTTCTTGTTTATTTTGAAATAAAACCTGCCTAAAAATAATTTTTAAATGTGAGTTTTGACGCAAAAATTGAATAAAAAAATAATAATTTTTTAAAGGTCTTTCCCAAATAAATATTTTTGTTTAAATAAAAATCTAATATAAATATAACAAGCAACACTGGCGAAAGGAGCTCGTAGTGGCATGCTTCTCTATTATTTTGCTAGTGCTGTAAAATCTATACAATTTCATGTTGATGATGATATTATTGATAAGCTCAATTATTATTATACAACTGCTATAATTATTGGCAAGTTTATTTTTAAAAAACAAGTTTTATAATAAGTTTTTAAAAACATTTTTTATACTAAATGTTTATTAAAAATTAAAACAAGTTTATTTAAAATAAGCTTATTAAAGATAAGTTTAAGTTTATTTAAAACAAGTTTATTTAAAACATGTCTCATATAAGTTTCTAAAACAAGTTTAAACAAGTTTTTGTTTAAAGTTTATTTTTTAAATTGTTTCAAGTTTGTAATAAATCAAGTTTTAATAAACATCAAGTTTGTAATCTTGAACTAAGCCTTAATTCTTAAGTTTTTGCAATTCTGGTCTCAACAAAGGAATACCTCGGTGCCCCCATTCAATGCTGGGTCCCAGCTACTTTTACAGAACCTATGGAGCAATATACAGAAAATTATTGTTTTGTTCAGGTAAATTAAATATTTTTTAAATTAAATTTATTTTTAAAATTATTATCTATTTTAGAGCACCTATTTTTTGCCATTAAATGACTACATTCCAAAAATACTTTCAGAACGGGAGCAACGTCAAATCGGCTATTACCAATGGGTATGAGAAAAAAAATCTGATTTATCTGACAAATTCTGATTTTTTCTGGTTTTAGGTCCCCTTTGTATTAGCTCTAAAAGCCCTTCTTTTCTACGTCCCAACAATAGTTTGGAGGCTTTTAAGCTGGCAGTCTGGTATTCACGTCCAATCCCTCGTCCAGATGGCCTGTGATTCGAGGCTATTGGATGCTGAGAGTCGCCAACGAGCAATGCAAACAATTGCTACAAATGTAGAGGAAGCATTACATGTAAAACACCAAGTGGGAACATTTTAAAAAATTTCAGAAAATTTTCTAAAAAACATTTTTTTAAGCTTGGAGGTAGTCGTATGAGAATGTTAAATTTAATTATTTGTACGAGGAGTAGTGGGGCCGCTGTCACTTTTCTTTACATTTCTGTTAAAATACTTTACACGGCAAGTCAAAATTGAATTTTTTTTGAAAAATTTTCAAAAATTTATTTTTTAAGGTAAATATTGTTGGCCAAATTTTTCTGCTCAACACATTTTTGGGTAACAGAAGTCGTTGGTATGGTTTGCACGTTTTACAAGATTTAATGAATGGGCATGAATGGGAGGAAAGTGGACATTTCCCTCGTGTCACACTTTGCGATTTTGAAGTTAAAGTTTTGGGGAATGTGCATAGGCATACTGTTCAGTGTGTTTTGATGATTAATATGTTTGTTTTTTTCGTGTTAAAATATTTTTGGGAAAAAAATTGGGGAAAAATCTGTGAATTATGTGAATAGAGGAACACAATGTGAATAGAGGTACGCTATCTAAAAATTCCACAACTTTCAATTAAATTTGACTAAAAATCTGATTTTTATAACAGAAATAGAGAAGAATGGAAGCTCCAACACCCCCACAAAAATTAAATTTGAAGACCCAAGTTAAAGAGGATATAAACTTTTAAGTGTACCAAACTGAGAAATACTGAATATAAAAATAATATGTAGTGTAAGAGGGACACAGTTTAACTTTTAAAATTCCATAACTTTCCTCAACTTTCAATTAAAAATCTAATTTTTATATCAAAAGATAGAGGAGAATGTAAGCTTTGAAATCCCACAAAAATTAAATTTCAAGACCCAAGTTAACAGAAGATATGAATTTTTAAGTGTGCCCAATCATTCCTTCTATTAAATAACACAGCTTAACATAAAACCCCATAACTCTTTCTTATATTTTAATAAAAATCTGATTTAAATGTCCAAAAATAGAGGAGAATGTAAGCTTTGGAATCTCACAAAAATTAAATTTTAAGACCCAAGTTAAAAGGAGTTACAAAATTTCAAGTGTACCGAATCCTCACTTATATCAAATATGAAGCAATTAAAAATAAACTCAAAATTCCAATAATTAAAAATTTTTTCTTATCATTTTAATAAAAAATTATTTTTCCAAATTTAGGTTCAACGAAAAAATCTTTTTATTTCTCTGGTTTTGGTATTTTTTATTAGCAGCAGCAACATTTTGTTCCCTCCTTTATTGGCTATTTATTTCAATAATGCCTAGTCGACAATTAAATTTTGTTGGGAAATATTTGACGGGGATAGAAGGATATAAAATGGTTGATTCCCAATCTTTGAGACGTTTTGTCTTTCATTTTCTACGGCAAGACGGAGTTTTCCTTTTGCGTATGGTTGCGACACACGCGGGGGAATTGGCTTGTTATGAACTGGCAAAAAGATTATGGGACAATTTTATGGGAGGATCTCAAGAAAGAGGGACTAAAATGCATGATGTTTAACGTTAAAATAAAATAAAAATTAATTTAAAATTCAAAGAGCTTTCATTTAATTTTTTCAGGCAAATTTTCTTTCCATCCATTCCCTTACATAATTTTTTTTAATTTTTTAAATTGAAAAAAAAATTTTTTTTAATAATTTTATATTTTAATTGAAAAAAAAATATATTTAAATTAATGACTGGGTAATAAATAAAATAGATGGACGTGAAAATGCGCGAGGAAAATGCCCCAAACATCTTATTATTTTACAATGTTTGTAAATTATCTTAAAAACAAAAGAAAAAATCAGATCAGATGTTTCAAGTTTTAATTAAAAGCAAACAAGTTGAAATAAAAATCGCAAACTTAAGTTTGCGGAATAATAGAGAAATAAACTTGAATTATTAAAACTTGTTCAGATTAGTAAATAAACTTGAATTAAAACAAGTTTATTTTTAGGATTAAAACAAATAATTTAAAACTTAATAAACTTGAACTTAAAACTTGAAAATAAACTTGACTTAATTAAAGTTTTTAAGCTTAATCTTAAATAAAAGATTGAGGAAGCGAGGTAATATAAAACAAATTTTCCCTATATTTAAAGAAATAAAAATTTTATTCCCAAATTTATCAAAAAAATATATTGTCGTATTTATTCTAATAGAAGGCCGTTTGAATTTTTTTCTTACAAAATTTTTTCTTCTATTATAGGAGAAATTATCCCAAAAATTAAAAGCTCCTTCTATTATAAATAATTTAAAAAAATAATAAAAAAAAGTCAAAAAAATAATCAAGAAAAAAAAAATTAAAAATATTTAAAATGGTTGTTGTGTCAAGTGCTGGAATGTTTGTTGATGATTCAACAAAAACCGCAAATTAATTGCTTGTTGCAGCTGTGCTGCTAATGGAGGCGTTGAGGCATTTGATGAGGAAGATTCGCTTTCATAACATTTATTTAAATTCCCTTCTTTTTTTAATACATTACTTGAACTTGTATTGGCAACAGATTCGTTTTCAACTTCATGTTGGGTTGTTATACTTGAGGTAGAGGAACAACCCTTCCCTTTCATGAGACTTTTGTATTCAGTTATTCGAACCTGCAAATTAATATATTTACAATTAAATTTTCAGAATAAATCAGAATTTTATTTAAAAATCAGAATCTCGAGAAAACCAGAATATTCAATAACCAGAATTTTTAAAAAACAGAATTTTCAAAGACAAATCAGAATTTCAAAAAATTAGAATATTCAAAATAAAAATTTTCAAGAAAACAGAATCTTGAGAAACCAGAATTTTCAAAAAAAACCAGAATTTTTAAAAACCAGAATTTCAAGAGAAATCAGAATATTTTAAATCAGAATTCTCAAAAAAAAGAATTTCAGAAATCAGAATCTTAGAAAAACCAGAATTATAAGAAACCAGATTAAATACAAGATTTGAAACAGAATTAAGAATCAGAATTTTCAAAAACCAGAAACAACTAATTATTTTTAAAAATCAGAATCTTCATTAAAATCAGAAAATATTTATTCACCTTTTTCCCATCAACAATACAAGTTCTTTTAGGCCTCGGCCTGTAACGATAATCTGGATGTTGCTCCATATGTTGTTTAGAAAGACGAGATTGTTCATCGTAATAAGGCTGTTTTTCTCCATTAGACATAGCCTTCCAACGAGAACCCAAAATTTTTGAAATGTTGCTGTTGTGCATGTCTGGATTTTTCTTTAAAATTTTTCGGCGTTCGTCTCTAGCCCAAACCTTAAAAAATTTGAAAATAGTTAAAAAAATT